TTTTTACTCCGTATTTACTCCGTATTTACTCCGTATTTATTCCGTACTTTCTCCGTATTTACTCCGTATTTACTCCGTATTTTTACTCTGTATTTACTTCGTATTTTTACTCCGTATTTACTCCGTATTTTTACTCCGTATTTACTCCGTATTTACTCCGTATTTTTACTCCGTATTTACTCCGTATTTACTCTGTATTTACTCCGTATTTTTACTCCGTATTTACTCCGTATTTACTCCGTATTTTTACTCCGTATTTACTCCGTATTTACTCCGTATTTACTCCGTATTTATTCCGTATTTACTCCTTATTTACTCCGTATTGCTCGTAAAAGGACCGAGTTTGTAAATAATAACGTGAGTTTGGCAAATTTACCACCTTTTTTGAAAAATATTTTCACAGTCATGTTTACTATGGTTTCTGACCAGTTGTAAGACTTTTATAAGACACGCATCCTACTCCCAGAAAAGCAACCGCGATTCCAGTTTTATATATTACATTTTTATTTAGTAAATTTTTAAAAAGTGAATTTCTATAGTGCCTAAATTAAATATTTTAATCAATGTTTACTCTCTAATACTTGATGTGATATCACAATTTATTTGGGTTTCAGATACTTAGAATTAACTAAATTAGTAAAGTTAACGATGCAACTGTTGAGCTTTATGGGAAATTGAGTCTTTACCACCAAACTTTGATTTTCTAATCTCTATATCTTTGCAACCGAATTGCGAAGACCTTAGATATTTCAAACTATGAGTTCTGTAACTGTTAGATCAAATAATCTAGTTTTGAATTATTACAGGTTTATATTTTCAGGTTGTTCAAATAGTGATTAGAAAATTTAAATTTGTGGCAAAGAATCAATTCCTTTATATATAAAGAAAGTTCATGTTTTTGTTTTAAAGAAATATGTAACTACGTGTGATGTAAAGCAAACTGTTTACAGAAGCTTCCAAAGATTTGTTCAAAGTTTGGCTGATCCAGGGGTAGGGGTTGCCAAAAAGTTTTGGTTCATGTTCATTTAAGGAGCAAGATGGGTTGGTTTCAGAATTCAATAAATTACAAGAAAACGTTTTATTTCACCCCTCCCCCGTCCCATCCTTGTCTTCCCGTCCCATCCTTGTCTTCCCTTCCCATCCTTGTCTTCCCGTCACATCCTTGTCTTCCCTTCCCATCCTTGTCTTCCCATCCCATCCTTGTCTTCCCTTCACATCTTTGTCTTCCCGTCCCATCCTTGTCTTCTCTTCCCATCCTTGTCTTCCCTTCACATCCTTGTCCTCCCGTCCCATCCTTGTCTTCTCTTCCCATCCCTGTCTTCCCGTCCCATCCTTGTATTCCCTTCCCATCCTTGTCTTCCCGTCCCATCCTTGTCTTCCCTTCACATCCTTGTCTTCCCGTCCCATCCTTGTCATCCCTTCCCATCCTTGTCTTCCCTTCCCATCCTTTTCCTTTTAAATCAAACCTGTTCCATTATACTTCCATATTATACTTTCCAGCTTTTTCCTTTACCTCTTCCATCTTATATTTCTAGATTTTTCCCTTTTTCTTTCACCTTACACTCCTCCCTTTCCCCTTTCTCCTGCCATCTTATACTCTTCTTTTTCCCCTTTCTCCTTCAATCTTTCAATCCTCTTTTTATGTTCTTTTTTCATTTTTATACTAATCTTTTTCCTATTTCTCCTTCCATCTTATGTTCTTCTTTTTCCCTTTTCTCCTGCCATCTTTTCATCTCCATCTCTTCCTTCCAACCCTCTTCCCTTCCCCTGTTCTCCCTCTTCTCCCTCTACTAATGCAAATACTTGAAATATCTAACCTAAACCCTATTAAGTACTACAGCTGGTATAGTTAAACATAGTTCTATATAATTTATATATAGTATATGCACCATATATTTTAACTATGCAACAGTTATACAACTTTACAACTGAACAACTGAACAGTTATACAACTTTTCAACTGAACAACTGAACAGTTATACAACTTTACAACTGAACAACTGAACAGTTATACAACTTTACAACTGAACAACTGAACAGTTATACAACTTTCAACTGAACAACTGAACAGTTATACAACTTTACAACTGAACAACTGAACAGTTATACAACTTTACAACTGAACAACTGAACAGTTATACAACTTTACAACTGAACAACTGAAAAGTTACACAACTTTACAACTGAACAGCTGAACAGTTATAAAACTGGACAGCTGAACAGCTGAACAGTTATACAACTTTACAACTGAAAAGCTGAACAGTTATACAACTTTACAACTGAACAGCTAAACAGTTATACAACTTTACAACTGAACAACTGAACAGTTATACAACTTTACAACTGAACAGCTGAACAGCTGAACAGTTATACAACTTTACAACTGAACAGCTGAACGCTAAACAGTTATACAACTTTACAACTGAACAGTTGGACAGCTGAACAGTTGAACCACTGAACAGTTGAACAACTGACCAGTTGAAAAACTGAAAAGCTGAACAGAACAAAAGAAACATCAGATAAACAACTGAATAGGTGAAAAGTTGAAAAGCTACATAACTGAATAGCTGAACAGTTGAATAGTTGAATAACTTTACATCTAAACAGTTATAGAGCTTAATAACAAAACAGTTGAACGAACATCTGAACATATAAACAGTTCAACAACGCAATATTTTAAAAATTTCCCAGTAATGATGAGAGTAAATTAAAAATTTCTCCGGGCTCCCTGAATCCCTGAATAGAATTCTAGATTTGTCTAATACTCTGGAATACCCGGAGCAGTTGAATCTAATTTCTTAAATATATTCCAGCCTTAATTATTCAGATCAATTAAAGGCTCAATAGAATACACATTACACACATTATGCATTGCAACTAGAGACTCAAGGTTATTAACAAAGAAATACTTTTTTGTAACCTTTAAAAAAATTCATACAAAGATGCAGATTCCAAAATATGTTTGGAAAAATAATATTTTTGGACAAAAAACTTACCAGTCCATAGTAGAAAGAACAACCATTTTTGTCGAATTTTCAGAATTTTCGTAGATTTTGGAACATTCTAGGTTTTTGATTTCTTCCAACCCAGCGGTCAGCTTGTTTTCCTGGGTCAAACCTTCAGATCCGTCCTCCTCTTTTCCTCTGAAAATAATTGGTTTTTAAGTTTGTGATGCAGTTCAAGTGAACAGTCCCTTGAACAATTAAGATATTTCCTCCCCACCCGGAGTTAATGTATTCCTTGTAGTTTTAAGATTTACGAACTAATCCTTCTTCTACATTAGTTCTCTCTTGGGCTTAATCTTGGAACACGTTGCGTCGCCTCCCTCCCTCCCTCCGACCTCCAACCCTCCCCAACAGATCACTTTCCTAAATATTTTTTTTTTTTTTTTTGGGGGGGGGGTATCGACTTTTTGTAAAGTTTAATACAATCAAAGTTTAATATAATACAATTTTGAAATCTTTTATTTATTTGTTCTAAAAAACGATGAAAAACAATTAGCACTACCATGTTATTCTTAGGTTTCATGCTTTAAGTTTATAGCAAAAGGAATTTAGTCTTTGCAAACCAATGTCGTAGATATTTTAAACCATGAATTATGATAGATTAAATAATAGTTAGGTAGCAAATATAAATGGATTAGGAAATTCAAGTTTGTGGCAAAGTCTGAATTCCTTTACGCTAGTTTTCTTGAAAGAGTACAATCCAAATCCTAAAATATCTTCACTAATCCCGTTCTAACTTTATCCGTCCTTTGTTCGGTGTAATCCGGCCCCAACCATCCCAGCTTAGTTATATATCATCCTGGTAGGTTTAGTTATATATCATCCTGGTAGGTTTAATTATATATCATCCTGGTAGGTTTAGTTATATATCATCCTGGTAGGTTTAGTTATATATCATCCTGGTAGGTTTAGTTATATATCATCCTGGTAGGTCCCCTCATTTATACTTTATCTTTATACTTCTAATATACAAACGCAATACATGTATTAATCTGCAAACAAGAAAACGCTCTTAAAAGAGTTGCTCCTGTTAAAGCTAAGATAAAAGGATTAATACACAAGAGAAAGGATAATTCCCCTGTGGTTTTAGGAAACTGTACAATGTACACTGATTTGAAAATAAATATAGATGGTTACTTTTAATTTTACCACCGAACAGAAATGATTGTTCCCTTGTAGTTTAATTCCTCAGAGAAAGGATGGTTCCTATCTATTTTATTACCAGAGAAAAAAGATTGTTCCATTGTAGTTTAATATCTGAGAGAAAGGATGATTACTGTTAAGTTTAATATCTGAGAGAAAGAATGATTCCTATCTAGTTTAATACCTGAGAAAAAGGATGGTTTCTATCTAGTATAATATCTGAGAGAAAGGATGGTTCCTATCTAGTTTAATATCTGAGAGAAAGGATGGTGCCTATCTATTTTAATATCTGAGAGAAAGGATGGTTCCTATCTAGTTTAATATCTGAGAGAAAGGATGGTTCCTATCTAGTTTAACATCTTAGAGAAAGGATGGTTCCTATCTAGTTTAATACCTGAGAGAAAGGATGGTTCCCTTGTGATTAAGATGATATTGATGAGCAGCATCTATACTCATATATCTTCTATGGTTCCTGAACCAGGTCGGATATTCACATCTAGTTTCACTCTCCTCTACTGAAAAAAAGAACATTTAAATATTTCTCCGTTTTTAGGAATTTATATTTAGGGACTGTTTGACTAATTTCCAGTGAACTTCTATTTTAAGAGTGTCGTGTCCGATTCATAACAGTACCTTTAAACCTTTATCTTATGATTAATGTGAAAGATATCGTGTAGCGTGGTTAATTCTGATAGATGATTGTGAGAAATCAAAATTAAAAATGATCAATTATAAACACATAGATATTTTTTTACTTTAAGAAATCATGTATTTTAAATAAGGGTTGTGGGCTCATGCATAAAAAACAAAACGAAATGTTACAAGTTCGTTATCGAAGTCTTTCTATTTTTGATTTTACTCAAGATTAATTAAAAGATGTATACCCAACGTTTTGCATTGAGCCGTTGTCTTATCATTAAATACTTGACTATGGGTTACCCTTTAAGCACTTGTTTTAAGCGGGCTGATCTTGCTTACTATTTTTCCTTAATCTTAACCATCGACCATAGATAGGCGATAATTAGTTTTTGTCAAACGCATTTTCGTTAATTTGCTAATGACCTAAAGAAAAATGGAACTCTTAGACACAATTGAGTTGTATCCTTCTGTCCTTTTTTCCGTCAGACATTTTTCTCTTCATTAAAACAAAAATAAAAGATTTTTAGAATATTCCTCTATTTTTTCTCTGACGTCTATCCGTTCCTTACTCTGAGTTCCCTGGCTCCGTAAAATAGTTTCGCTCATATTCTCCTACTTAACTATTGCTTAATTCCTGTGTTATCCTTACTGCACATTGGATCATATACCTATCTAGTCTAATACTTGACAAAGGTGCAAAACATCGGCTAGAACACACACCCCTAAACCACCTTGTAAATGATGACTTTGATTTCCATGAAAGTAGATATAAGATTAGGGGAGAGAGGTAGTCCTGGAGAGAAGATATGAGATTAGGGGAGTGAGGTAGTGCTGGAGAGAAGATATGAGATTAGGGGAGTGAGGTAGTGCTGGAGAGAAGATATGAGATTAGAGGAGTGAGGTAGGGCTGGAGAGAAGATATAAGATTAGGGGAGTGAGGTAGGGCTGGAGAGAAGATATAAGATTCGGGATAGAGGAAATTTTGAGATAGAAAAAAATAAAAAAACATAGAAGATGGATCTTTTGTTAGTTTATTATTTAATCTTTTATTTATGTATTACATTTACTTATTTAACATATCTAACTAGTTATTTATTCTAGTTGTATACACTTACACCTTCTCATTTCATCAACTATTTGTATCAAACATTGATATCTAATTCATACTTGATCAGACAAAGCTTTAAAGGGTACCGTTGTAAATCAGACTCTACATATGAAGGGTCAATTGAAAGTAGGTCTGAGATCCCTTTAAACCTGGTTCTTAATTCATCAACCTTTTAAGGTTTCATTAAAAATATATTACATATATTATATATCCATGATTAAGCATACCACAAATAGTTTACAAGGATTCCATCTAGAAAGTTTCCGTAATAAATAACTGAATTAGTTGGAATTTGAGAAATCTGACAAATAGTTGATATATTGGGTCTAATCTTAACTTTGTAACTCTTCTCCAACCAAACTTATATTATCCAACTCTAGGTATTTGTTCTCAGAGAAGTAGGGAGAACACAAGATTTAGAAACTTGGAGTACGGAGAAGGATGGAGTACAAGGAAGGATGGAGTATTAGGACGGATGGAGTATTAGGAAGGATGGAGTACTGGAAAGGATGGGATACTAGACCGGAAGGATGAAGAACTAGGAAGGATGGAGTACTGGGAAGGATGGAATACTATGAAGCATGGAGCATGTACTGTGAACTGAGAATGATGAAGTACTAGGAAGGATGGAGTACTGGGAAGGATGTAGTACTGGGAAGGATGGAGTAATGAGAAAGATGGGATAGTAAGAAGGATAGAGTACTAGGAAGGATGGAGTACTAGGAAGGATATAGTACTAGGAAGTATGGAGTGCTAGGAAGGATAAAGTACTAGGAAGGATGGCGTACTTGGAAGGATGGCGTACTTGGAAGGATGGAGTACTAGTAAAGGATGGAGTACTAGGAAGGATGGAGTACAAGGAAGGATGGAGTACTAAAAAGGATGGAGTACTAGGAAGGATGGAGTACTAGGAAGGATGGAGTACTAGGAAGGATGGAGTACTATAGTACTAGGAAGGATGGCGTACTTGGAATGATGGAGTACTAGTAAAGGATGGAGTACTAGGAAGGATGGAGTACTAGGAAGGATGGAGTACTAGGAAGGATGGAGTACTAGGAAGTATGGAGTACTAGGAAGGTTATAGTACTAGGAAGGATGGCGTACTTGGAATGATGGAGTACTAGTAAAGGATGGAGTACTAGGAAGGATGGAGTACAAGGAAGGATGGAGTACTAGGAAGGATGGAGTACTAGGAAGGATGGAGTACTAGGAAGGATGGAGTACTAGGAAGGATGGAGTACTAGGAAGGATGGAGTACTAGGAAGTATGGAGTACTAGGAAGGATATAGTACTAGGAAGGATAGCGTACTTGGAATGATGGAGTACTAGTAAAGGATGGAGTACTAGGAAGGATGGAGTACAATGAAGGATGGAGTACTAGGAAGGATGGAGTACTAGGAAGGATGGAGTACTAGGAAGGATGGAGTACTAAAAAGGATGGAGTACTAGGAAGGATGGAGTACTAGGAAGGATGGAGTACTGGGAAAAATGGAGTACTAGGAAGAATGGAGTACTGGGAAGGATGGAGTTCTCGGAAAGATGGAAAACTGGGAAGGATGGAGTATTAGGAAAGATGGAGTGCTGGGAAGGATGGAGTATTAGGAAAGATGGAGTGCTGGGAAAAATGGAGTACTAGGAAGAATTGAGTACTGGGAGGGATGGAGTCCTAGGAAGGATGGAGAACTAGGAAGGATGAAGTACTAAGAAGGATGGAGTGCTGGAAAGAATGGAGCACTAAGAAGAATGGAGTACTGGGAAGGATGGAGTAATGAGAAGGGTGGAGTACTAAGAAGAATGGAGTTCTGAGAAAGATGGAGTTCTGAGAAGGATGGAGAACGGATAAGGATGGAGTACTAAAAAGGATGGAGTAGTGAGAAGAATGGAGAAATCTTGTATAAGAATACAATTGAAAGATTTATTGAACAAGACCATCCTGAATATTTTCTATTAAAAATTCAAAATCTGCCATATGTTCGCGGTTTGGGGAACAGCATACAAAATTGAAAGATGATACATTTATTAATTTTTCTTCGTTGAAAACATAAAATCAATTGTCATTATTTGTCAGCAAGAACTTATGCAATAATTAGATTATTTCTCAATGATAAGTTTTGAATAAAATCCAACTACTGCTAGGACGGATGAGACTATTTTACTCCAGGTGCAAGGATCCTTTACTAGAATCTATCCCGGAGGAAATCAGAAATCAAATCCCAGGAATTATTGTCATCAAACCTCTCCAACCTCTGGAGGACTTGGACACAATCTCCAAACCTCAGTTAAATTTAATCAATCTCTCTAAACCTTGTTCAATACTCAGGGTTGGGTGTTCAATACTCAGGGTTGGGTGTTCAATACTCAGGGTTGGGTGTTCAATACTCAGGGTTGGATGTTCAATACTCAGAGTTGGGTGTTCAATACTCAGGGTTAGGTGTTTAATACTCAGGGTTGGGTGTTTAATACTCAGGGTTGGGTGATCAATACTAAGGGTTAGGTGTTCAATACTCAAGGTTGGGTGATCAATACCCAGGGTTGGGTGTTCAATACTCAAGGTTGGGTGTTTAATACTCATGGTTGGTTGTTTAATACTCAGGGTTGGGTGTTCAATACTCAGGGTTGGGTGTTTAATACTCAGAGTTGGGTGTTCAGTACTCAGGGTTAGGTGTTTAATACTCAGGGTTGGGTGTTTAATACTCAAGGTTGGGTGTTTAATACTCAGGGTTGGGTGATCAATACTAAGGGTTAGGTGTTCAATACTCAAGGTTGGGTGTTCAATACTCAGGGTTGGGTGTTTAATACTCAGGGTTGGGTATTTAATACTCAGGGTGTGTGCTCAACACTTAGGGTTGGGTGTTCAATACTCAGGGTTGGGTGTTTAATACTTGTTTAATACTCAGGGTTGGGTGTGTAGTAATCAGGGTTGGGTGTTTAATACTCAGGGTTGGGTGTTTAATACTCAGGGTTGGGTGTTTAATACTCAGGGTTGGGTGTTTAATACTCAGGGTTGGGTGTTTAATACTCAGGGTTGGGTTTTTAATACTCAGGGTTGGGTGTTTAATACTCAGGGTTGGATGGTTAACACTCTAGGTTGAGTGTTTAATACTCAGGATTGGGTGTTCAATACTCAGGGTTGGGTGTTTAATACTCAGGATTGGGTGTTTATACTCAGGGTTGGGTGTTTAATTCTCAGAGTTGGGTGTTTAATACTCAGGGTCGGGTGTTCAATACCCAGGGTTGGGTGTTCAATACACAGGGTTGGGTGTTTAATACTCAGGGTTGAGTGTTCAATACTCAGGGTTGGGTGTTTAATATTCAGGGTTGGGTGTTTCATACTCAAGGTTGGGTGTTTAATACTCAAGGTTGGTTGTATAATACTCAGGGTTGGCTGTTTAATACTCAGGGTTGGGTGTTTATTACTTAGGGTTGGGTGTTTAATACTCAGGGTTGGGTGTTTAATACTCAGGGTTGGGTGTTCAATACTCAGGGATGGGTGTTTAATACTCAGGGTTGAGTGTTTAATGCTCAGGGTTGGTTGAATAATACTCAGGGTTGGTTGGATTACTATTTTAAGACCATAATGACAGGTTTGAAACAAGGTGAAATTAGTTTTGTGATCACAGGTCTGGAAACTTTTAAATTTCAATTATTTTAAATTTAAAAACAACAGATATATAATTTTTCTATAAAATATAGAGCAAATTGTAAACTAATTTTAATTTAATTTGGGTTTAGGTTAGTGATATAGTCCATGATTAATTTTGATTAACGTTTCGTAATTCTAGGTGACATAAAAACTATTGTGCCTTTTGATGCTTTTTGTAGACACTGCCAGTGCATAAAATAATATTGAAATAAACCATATTTTTTGGTAAATTAAATCCAAAATATTAATAATTTAACTGATCTTCCGCTAAATGAACATGATGGCCCATATCTGACAAATCAAATGAAATCATATACTGATCTTTCTCAATATATGATTCTCTGTAGTCAAAATTGTCAAAATAACATGTTTTTCTTCACTCTCAAACATGTTTCTTAGAGCCAGGATGTTCAAAACTTTCTGGTCAATGATAAAAAAAACGGCTATGAAGAGAATTTTGAGAATTCTCTAATATATTTGACCTTTAGACACATGAATCCATAAAGGAATTGAGTCTTTGCCACAAAATTAAATATTATAATCTCTCTATCTTTGCAATCTCGTGATGTAATCCTTTGATATTCTAAATTATTTGATTTACCAGAATTCATAGTTTAAAATATCTGAGGTCTACGACATTGGGTTGCAAAGATATTTGGATTAGAAAATTAGAGTTTGTGGCAAAAACTCAATTTCTTTATCTATGAAAAATAATAATTACATATATGATTCTAATTTAGCTTCATTAGGCGCGATGGAAATTATGAATGGAGCGGAAAATGACTTAGTTAAACAATTTAAAAAAACAAAAATATTAAATTTTATTCTTACATTTTTTAATCTTGAATGTGGTATGACCCTCTGTGGCTGTATACAGGTTACACTCTGCTCCCCCTGACATTGAAACCAGGAACCCGGAGTAGTTCTTCTTGTAAACAAAACATCGGAAACTGCTTTCATGATCCCTGAAATTCAAGATGCTTCTTAACATATTCCTCAAGATCTAAATGAACTGTTGACTTAACTTATTAATTTAAAGTATATTTTCATATATAGAGTGGCATGTCAAGTTTTTAACATTCTACAGAAACAATGACGAAAATTGACAGAACTTTTTAATTTGATAATTATTTTTTAATTTATCGTTGTGAATCGAGCAATATAGGATTCAAAGGGTTGAATCAATGATTATATATTACCAGGATAAGGAGAGAGGATGGAATCAATGATTATATATTTACCAGGATAAGGAGAGGATGGAATCAATGATTATATATTTACCAGGATAAGGAGAGGATGGAATCAATGATTATATATTACCAGGATAAGGAGAGAGGATGGAATCAATGATTATATTTAAAATTCAGTGATGGTGATGGACCAAACCTCTGTTGAGTAAAAAAGTAGATGTTAGTTCCACATTTATTGAAAATATATTTCAGTCTGGGTTGACCCTCGTCAGTTCTAACGATATAATAACCATCAAAATCGATAAAAAAATAAATAAATGTAAAAATCACAAGAAGATAAACAAACAAAAAGATTATTCAAAATAAAAATTTGGGCTGTCAAATGGACATAAGGGAAAAGAACTCAGATTATGAGATGGAAAAAAGATAATTTGCAAATATTCACTTTCTAAAAAAATGTTTTAAGACAATTATTATTCCTTGAGATTGTTTCTTTACAAAGATTAAAAACAAACTGTGTAGATGTGTGAATATAGAGTTGGGGTGGGGGTCGATCTAATTAACGATCTTTGGCGTGAGTTGGGGGAGGGGGAGGGGGGGAATGGCTTGTTTAAGGAGGGGTATTTAAAACCTTTTAAAGAATTGGACATAAAAAACTCTTTTTAAAAAACATACTGAATTACAGTTATCAATTAAATAAAACTATTTTTTTCTGTTCATTCCTCTGAGTTCAGTCATAAAATCTCTGATGTATTTAGATTCTCGTACTTCAAGTAAACCTCTTCCGTGGTCCCAAACCTTCTCTAGAACGCTAACTTTTAGATGGTAGAGTTCATGTCCAGGAAGGTTAAAATGTTCTCCTGTAGGCTGGTTTGTATGGAGATTTCTAATGTAACCAATATGTTCTCTCACTCTTTCATCTAAAGATCTTGTTGTCTGTCCTATATATTGTAGTTTACACTGCTCACATGTAATACAGTAAACTACATTTCTGGTCTTACAGTTGAAAGTTCCATTAATCTCAATCTTCTTGCTGGTATTAGAGGATTGTATAACTGTTCCAGGCTCTATGTAGGGACAAGTTGGGCATTTTTATCCACAAGGTTTCATACCAGGTATTAGCCTCTTTGGCCTCATTCTAGGAGGATCTGGAATTCTGGCTCGGATAAGTTTATCCCTGAGATTAGGAGGTCTCCTACAGGTAACCATAGGTGGATTTTTAAAAACCTCCTTCATCCAAGGATCCTGGACCATGGTTCTCCAATGTTTCTGTATGATGGAGGAGATACAAGGCAGTTGGGGATTGAATGAGATAGAGAATATAACTCTATCTGGTTTCTCCTTTTTCTCCACTTTCTTTAAAGCAACTTCTCTAGGTATAGCTTTAGCTCGGACTATAGCATAGTCAACAATGATTATATATTACCAGGATAAGGAGAGGATGGAATCTATGATTATATATTTACCAGGATAAGGAGAGGATGGAATCAATGATTATATATTACCAGGATAAGGAGAGAGGATGGAATCAATGATTATAAATTTACCAGGATAAGGAGAGGATGGAATCAATGATTATATATTTACCAGGATAAGGAAAGGATGGAATAAATGATTATATATTTACCAGGATGAAGAGAGAATGGAATCAATGATTATATATTTACCAAGATGAAGAGAGAATGGAATCAATGATTATATATTTACCAAGATGAAGAGAGAGGATGGAATCAATGATTATATATTACCAGGATGAAGAGAGAGGATGTTCTAATCTTGCCACGAAATAGTCTGTGCTCCCTTCTCTCCAACTAAACAGTTTAAACATTAAAAATTTAAAGTCATTTCCCAATATCTATCTATCTATCTATCTATCTATCTATCTATCTATCTATCTATCTATCTATCTATCTATCTATCTATCTATCTATCTATCTATCTATCTATATATCCATAGCTATTGTTCTATGCATGTGTTCTATTATCTCTGATATATTTATACAATATTTTATGTTTATGAAACATCTATGTATTGTAAGGTTGGCAAACTACACAACAAATCCTGGACAATTGGAATAATTAATCTTGGGTCGTTTTGTTTATACCTTACTCCTCTACATTCTAGATATCCATTTATATATCCTATTTCTTTCGGGAATTGCGGAATATCTCTTTGTCTACCCTGTATCCTGTATCCTTGAGATAAATCCCTACCCTGTATCCTGTATCCTTGTGAGATATCCCTACCCTGTAACCTGTATCTATGTGAGATATATCTCTACCTTGTATCCTGTTTTATGTGGGATAAATCTACCCTGTATCCTGTATCTATGTGAGATAAATCTCCACCTTTTATCTTGTATCTAGGTGAGATATCTCTACCCTGTATCCTGTATCTATGTGAGATATCTCTACCATGTATCCTGTTTCTATGTGAGATATATCTCTAACTTGTATCTTGTATCTATGTGAGATATCTCTACCCTGTATCCTGTATCTATGTGAGATATCTCTACCATGTATCCTGTATCTATGTGAGATATATCTCTAACTTTTATCCTGTATCTAGGGGAGATATCTAGACCCTGTATCCTGTATCTAGGTGAGATATATCTCTACCTTGTATCTTGTATCTATGTAAGATATCTCTACCCTGTATCCTGTATCTAGGTGAGATAACTCTACCCTGTATCCTGTATTTATGTGAGATATCTCTACCATGTATCCTGTATCTATGTGAGATATCTCTACCATGTATCCTGTATCTATGTGAGATATCTCTACCCTGTATCTTGTATCTATGTGAGATATCTCTACCTTGTATCTTGTATCTATGTAAGATATCTCTACCCTGTATCCTGTATCTAGGTGAGATAACTCTACCCTGTATCCTGTATCTATGTGAGATATCTCTACCATGTATCCTGTATCTATGTGAAATATCTCTACCCTGTATCTTGTATCTATGTGAGATATCTCTACCATGTATCCTGTATCTGATAAGCTCCGGTATTGTGTGACTGCTCTTAATGGTTTAATGTAAAAGATAAAAGAATAATGAGGCTGGAGCCAGGACGGGAGGAGAGGAGGAGATATAAACTTTAACTTTATATTTTACTAACTTTATCTTTGCTAATAGAACACATCAAGTACACCTAGTACAACAGGGTGGAAGGGGAGAAAAGAGGTAGGGACAATAGACAAGGATAGATAAGAATAGACAAGGATAGACAAGGATAGACAAGTATAGACAAGGATAGACAAGGATAGACAAGGATAGACAAGGATAGACAAGGATAGCCAAGGATAGACAATGATAGACAAGGAGAGACAAGGAGAGACAAGAAGAGACGAGGATAGACAAGGTTAGGCAAGGATAGACAAGGATAGATAAGAATGGACAAGGATAGACAAGGTTTGACAAGGATAAACAAAGATAGTTAAAAATAGACAAGAATAGACAAGAATAGACAAGAATAGGAAAGGATAGACAAGGATAGACAAGAATAGGCAAGGATAGACAAGGATAGTTAAGGATAAACAAGAATAGTTAAGGATAGACAAGAATAGGCAAGAATAGGCAAGGATGGACAAGGATTGTTAAGGATAGACAAGGATAGACAAAGATAGACAAGGATAGTGAAGGATAGACAAGGGGATAGACAAGGGTAGACAAGGAAAGACAAAAATAGACAAGAAGAGACAAGGAGAGACAAGGAGAGACAAGGAGAGACAACAATGGACAGTAATAGACAACGTTAGACAACGATAGACAACGATAGACAAGGATAAAATATAATTAAAAATACATAAAAGATGTAAGGAAATAAAAGAATATTAGGAGGAAAAACTAAGATCAATGATCTAGGTCTCATTTATCCTAGTTAATATTAAACTGTCTAAGTTGTGTTCTGTAGAGCCAGCATGATATATATCAATCTATCTTACATCTAGTGTCTCGACATCTTTTATTGGAAAATAGATGCAGATTCAGATACGGCTCCTATTTTACTTTATAACGTTAAAATTTGAAAATAAATCACGAAATCTGTTTTGCTTTACATGAAACTTGTATTAAAGGGACTGACGTTGAAATTTCAAGTGAACCCTGCATTTAAAGAGTCGAGAGGTGCCCTTTAAACCTTTATCTGATCAATAATGGTGAAGATATCGTCGTTTTACCTTAGAACAGAGGGTCACTTGAAATTTCGTCAATAATCCCTGTAAAGGAATACATTTTTTTCATAACATTTGCACGCCGGGATGTTTGGAAACTGAGATATCTAATTGACGTCCTGTGGTGCAGAGATGCACTCTAAACTCAATATAAGAATTAAATTAATTTAGAAAAAGTGTTTTGCGTCCTTAACCCTTCCATGGGTCCGGAAGAAACTAAAAAACTGTAATTTTCCAGTTTTCTAAAAGTGTCAATTCTTTTAATCACCTTGCGACACAGTGAGCCCATTCTATTCCACTCTCCGAACCTTTAATATCCGGGCAGGCTTGGTATCTGAATACAACAAAGGATTATATTTCTCCGGGTATAAAAATAAGCAGTAAATGCACAGATGTTGTAAAATGAACAATCTCCCCCNTGTTGTAAGGATCGTGTTGTAAGGACCGTGTTGTAAGGATCGTGTTGTAAGGATCGTGTTGTAAGGATCGTGTTGTAAGGATCGTTTTTTTTTTTTAGAATAAACAAATTGTAAAGTTTAATAAAAGCAAATCTTTTGTTAATTTAATTTTTAAACGATCCAAAGCGATCCAAAAGGATCAACAACACCTATTCCTCTGCATGGATTCGAATTACCTGAACACTAATGAGGATCCATTCCTGCACTGGGATAGGGAGGAGAGAGGGTATCCACATTCACCGTGCCCTCGACTGTATGAAAACGTAAAATGACCTGAAATATTAATCAGTCAATCAATCAATTGAACTAATTAAAAAACATTAATAAACACTTTTGAAACAATTGATCAACGAATCAATGAATCAATGAATCAATGAATCAATGAATTAATGATTCAATGAATCAATGAATCAATGAATCAATGAATTAATGAATCAATGAAGTAATGGCAAAAAAATCTTCAAAAAGATTGAAAACCAAATAAAAAAGATAATGTGGGGATTCTCGAAAACTTAAATTTTATACAAAATATTTTCCTTTTTTTAATATTTTACTCGAAATGTTAAAATACTGGTGTTGAACCTAATTGTAAAATATTGCCAAACATTTCCTTGATTACACCTAATTATCTAATTACAGGGTTTAATGAGATCTAATAGCTCCAGGTATAGTTTTTCAAAACAAAAATGAACCCTTTGAAATCGTTAACTGGACCGTTAACACCTATTTGAACGAACTTGAAAAAATATTGTCTTTTACTAAACAAACAATTTATTTGATCGAACTTTTTTAAAAGAATTGTCTTTTTCTGATCAAATTAATTAATTTAACAATCGTTAATTTTTTTTCTCAACAACACAAAAAATCTATTGAAATGGGTCGTCAATAAACGATAAATGAACGAATAAAAAAAACCAGATGGGCCCATCTCTATACCATCTCACCGTCTCAATAACATCTCTATACCGTCTCTATGCCATCTCTATACCATCTCTATACCATCTCTATACCATCTCTATACCATCTCTATACCATCTCTATACCATCTCTATACCATCTCTATACCATCATATTTGCTAACCTGTGATTGGACAGAGCTCCGGAGCTGACCGAACCCGGAAAAGAGTTTTCAATGGTTCATCAACAGATATGCTAAAAACAAATCATAGAGAAACTCGTTTTAAACTTTAATTTTCTGATCTCTATATCTTTGCAACCAGAGGTTGTGAACCTTTGATATTTCAACCAATGAATTTGGCTTAACGGATTAACATCAGAGGATTAAACAAATTCAAACTTTCTCAAAATTGACCTTAAAGCCAGAATAAGCCAGTCTGTAGTTGTCAGCCAATACGAGATCAAAGAAATACCAGTCAGCTGTCTCTTGTGTAGTTGTCAGCCAATACGAGATCAAAGAAATACCAGTCAGCTGTCTCTTGTGTAGTTGTCAGCCAATACGAGATCAAAGAAATACCAGTCAGCTGTCTCTTTTAGCTTAATTATTTAATCTCTCCAAATTAAAAGTTTAAGTGTTATAATCATACAAAAGTTCAAACCCAAGGCTTATTATGAACCTTAACAAAATTGCACTTTTTTTGATTCGTGTTTATAGAGAAACTTATATTCTTGGTGATTATAAACAAACTAACCTGTGGCATATCTGTCTATGGGTTCTATCTGCAACACACCTACTCTCCTTGTACTGCAGGATATTAGCATGTTTCTCGTACATAGATAAACATCGGTAGCAGCCCTCGTGTCTAGATATACAAAATAAAAAAATTAATTTATATAGATTTAAAAATAAAGATATATTGATTTTTTACCATTGTAATAAAGTTCAAACCAATTAAGGAACTTTAATAAAAAGGTTGTAAATCGTCTCAAAGTTTTACTCTGAATTAAAATTTATAAAATATTTCTAGTATTTACAATGCTGCCTATATATTTGCATAAAGAATAAAGTTGTAGAGGTTGAAGGATCAGAATAGATATGGGAAACAAGATTTAAATTCAAATCTGAGGCAGGATACATTGATACATCAAACATTTCTGAACATCATAGACATTCAGACAGATTATAAACCTTAATCCTTTTTTATTTGATTTCTTTGTTTTATTTTTCAAAAATAATTGTACTTTCTATTCCTCAATAGTGAAACCCTAAATAAGCCAAAAAGTAAAAAACATTAACGAAGTATAATTAATTAGTTCTTGGTATTTACGCGTACTAATCTATCTTGGGCAGACAGACTAGCCACTAGTCGCTACACCAGCTCTGACATTAGATTAATGAATGTCGGTGTAGACTACTTAATATCAACCACAAACCCTGTACACGTACAATCTACATATTAGAATAAAATATACATTTATAAATATACATCTATATGAAATATGAATACATACATACAACATACATGTACAAAAATACATATATTGCAGTATATTAGACATTATAGCTTTTCAGAATTTCATTTTTTCCATTTTTTAGTTTATCTTCTTTTATAACTTTTTTTATAAGACGGATTCAAAAGGACTGTCTTATATTTTCAAATAAAACTCCATTTCAAGTGGGGCATACCCTTTCAACCTTTATCTGATCAATAATGTGGAAGATATAGTAGTTTTTATAGCTGAACAATTATGCAATCGTCACAATTTTCTTTTTGTTTCTGTAACAAAAAATCCGCAATTAACTTCTATAGAAAATGCACAAACGAAAAATAGTAAATGTCTTATTTATTCTTGACCATACACTGGTTTCAATATCACCGTTGTGATTTGGAATTGCCATCCTATAGTTTAATGAAGGGTTACTTGAAGTAATGTCAATTGTCAATTTTGAAAATTTAACATATAAAACTTTAATTTGCTCACCATATTAAAATATAATTTTATCGCTGTTTGGAAGTTTTATTTTCATCATTAATGGATTAAAGCTAACCTAACAGTGGCTCCGCCTATTTACTTTTCGTTCAGGCTTTACCCATTACCCCCCACCCCAATTCACCCCCCCCCCCTATCATTATATTTAATTAATAATTGTTTGTTATGTATTCTGCAGTATGTTGTAGATATATAGTGCTGGGTTTATTTAATAATATATTATAACTCATTCTGTATATATATGCATTGCGTATATACAGGGTTAGCCGCAAAGAACTAGACTTCAGAAACGACTGTGCGGAATTCATTCAGTAATTTTTAAATTCTGCAGCTGCATTTGTCTTTGCCAGATCCCATAATATAACATTTAAATATTAACTTAGAACAGTCTAAAGGAATTAAGTCTTTGTCACAAACTCAAACTTTCTAATCCAAATATCTTTGCAAAAAAATGGTTTCAACCTTTGATATTTTAAACTTCTTTGATCCTTTATAATTAATAGTTTGAAATAGTTTCAGGTCAACAACATTGGGTTGCAAAGTGTAAATCTATATTGTATTATAAGTAAAATGTTTATGTATTTATATGCATTGTATTTTTATATCGATTGGATGTATGTCCCCTTTGAATATTGTACTGTATGTTAAATTATTGTATTGGTGACATGTTTCTTTTTTATTCTAAATTCTATTTATATATTATGAATTGCTTCATGCATAATTTAATATGAAAAAGTTTCATCTATTACCATCTTATATTCATATATATATATACCTATATTATATTATTTATACTGTACAATGTACAATGTACCAGGTGCGTAGTGGAGGTTTAGCTAAGGGGGGTGTACTTGTGGCGAAATTTTTTTATGTACACCCCCCTAACGGATGATGTGCACCCCCTAAAAAACCGGTATTAAGAAAAAACAAAGTTTAAAATCTATATTAATCTACCTGAAGGCTGACTATCAGTCATCTGACCAATTACCAATTACCATAATTACCAATCATTTTAAATGAAACCCCACGAAAAAATATTGTAAATAAGATTAAGGTAAAAGAAAGAATTTGAGAAATAATCATAAAATGGACAAATTGTGACATTGTCGATTGATAAGAAAAGTAAAAAATCTGAATATTTATGTAAGTTTACTGTTTAATAAATTAGAGACTGCCTCTGGCTCTAGGGGGGGGGGCTAGAGGGTGAAATGTCTAGGGGGGAACAGTGGTACCGGCCCCCCCTGCACTACGCGCCTGCACTGTACAACATGCTCCAGGTGCCTACGGTACGGTACATCAAACGAACTGTGGTGGTTGTATACCTATCTTTAAAGATAAACTGGTTCTGCTGCCTGCTCCGTATACAGGTTCCCTTGTGTGAGAGTTCTAGCAGAGTTATATTTACCCCTTCACGTACACCAGACTCAAACCAGTTCCCAACCCAGCTGGGAGGCAATTCACAAACTCCTGAATAAATATACATGTACAATTATGTACAGGTTTAGTATAGTACAGGGAAATTTAGCTACAGTACAGAGGAGAGAGAGTTGTTAAATAGATGGTATATTAGAAAGGACAGTTTTTACTTCTTTTATATTTTTTTGTAACAATTCTAAGCTAAAAGCTAAAGATTCTGAATACGCTTTTTCATCTGAAAAGGTTATAAATCATATCTTCTCTTTTCACCATCATCATTTTAAACATTATTCCCGCCAAATCCTTCATAAGAATCTCTACTTCCGGCCTTTTAATGGTTTTATGTAATCAAGGTTTATGGACTCACCATGACCATTAACCACTATAACACTCTCTCTCATCGGAGTGTCTTCACCCTAGGTTTTATAAAGAGAAAACACTCAGAGCTGAAAACTTTTGAACTGGGACGGATTTAAGTCGATTCGAATCAGAGCACATCTATTAAACCCGGTTTCAATGATGATGTTTGAAAAATGTAATTTAAACATACTGGTTTAACAAGTTTTAAACAGAAACTTTAATTGAAAAGTTTGGTTTTGTTTGTTGTTCAAAATTTTTGATTATCAAAACTCGGTATACAATCGAAACATAAAACAACATGGCCAAATGTGACAAACAAAACGAAGTTTAAAATGTTTAAATGTTTAAATGTAAAGAGTAATTCTTCTAAATTCCTAAGAGAGGGAATAAACCTTAATCCTTTTTTATTTGATTTCTTTGTTTTATTTTTCAAAAATAATTGTACTTTCTTATCTATCTATCTATCTATCTATCTATATCTATCTATTTATCTATCTATTTACCTGACGCGAACTCTGTTGGTAGCCTAGCCAAGAAAAGAACCCAGAGCAAGGAAGTTCCTCTGAAAAAAAAATAATCTTTTTAAAAATAATCTAATATCGTCATATGAACATTCAATACATGTACAATTTACATTCAATGCATGTACAATGCATATTGTACATATAACTGTGCATATATGTATATACGGTATAAATGAGGTATATCTATTTACATATTTACATACAACTGTACATATGTAGAGAACGCCCTACTCCATAAAGGTTTCTCAACTCGTATCTATCCAGGTACAACTCAGATTCTCTCGACTTTCAATGTCAATACTCGGCTACAATCCCGTACACTATCAACGCCACTACTAATGTGCGCGATCTCGTTAGCTATTGATGTCAACAAGGACACTAGCAATTATTCGATGAATGCCTCAACCGGGAAACATTTCACACGGATACAATGCGTGACTTATACACTCCACTTCCAATATTTACTAATGGGCACATTGTGCTATATGGACAATATACAATATAGTTCATCTAGATTTACCTCTGTATTCGCTACACATATATACAGTATACCATGATGTATATATATTAATATATGTAAATACAACTGTACATATATCTATTAATATATGTACATACAACTGTACATACAACTGTAAATACAACTGTACATATACATACAGTGTACATGAACATGAGCTATACCTATTAATATATGTACATACAACTGTAAATACAACTGTACATATACATACAGTGTACATGAACATGAGCTATACCTATTAATATATGTACATACAACTGTACATATATATAGACATTGTACATGAGGTATATATATTAATATATGTACATATATCTGTTTAAGAGGAAGAATATTTAAGAAGATTACTGTAAGCCAGGGATAATCATATTTATTTCAGACAAGGTATTTTATACAGAACATACACTCAGACAATTTATAAAAAATAAAATATAAATATAATGATATACGTTTTTAAAATGTAATATACGATAATTTCGGTGAACTGTTTAATCTTGTTTAAATGTCTTTAAGTCTGGATGTCTCCTGTTTTATTTTTACGTGTAAATGTGATTTGTTAATTGAATATATCTAATTTTAGTCAAACAAAATTTAATTAAAAATCAATTAAAAATCTTACTTAGACGAAAAGTCCAAAAAATAGAGATTTTTGGTGGAATAAATGTAATGTGTCAAAACACATTAAATGAATATTTTATAAATCGAAGTTTACAACAAAATTTCGGCGCCAAATATTTAATCTCAATGCAAAGTGATTCCGAATCATATTTAGACCAATTCAAAGCATTTGACAGATTAAGTTTTTCTACATTTTATTCTAGCTTTCTTGAAAGCTACAAATGTCAGGAGCGGACCCTAAAACCATATATTATATAAATCAGTCCTCTCCTTGCCTACAAAATACAGATTCTATTGCCATACAATACAATACAACATGAGCTTAAAGGAACACATTATATAACATGAGCTTAAAGGAACAATGCAATATGAGCTTAAAGGAACACATTATATAACATTAGCTTAAAGGAACAATACAATATGAGCTTAAAGGAACAATATACGACATAGACTTTTTGGAACACATTCAGACATAGGCCACTTTGAATTAGAACCATCGGTATCCCAACCCCTTGTACCGGCCTTAGTGACACGTGACATGTACTTGCCGACCCTATCTTATGTCCACCCGGTTTCAATTTGATGATGTGGCAAGATATTTTACAGCCTAGTATAGCCATATTTGATCTACCCCTCCAGCTGAGTTTAGTATTAGACTTAATTAAACACTTAAGNAACCCTCACTGGTAGCTCCTCCTCATCCTAGTATTATAGTAAACATATATTTTTGTCAAAAAAAAGGTTAATTGTGTTAATGTTAACTGTATATTTATTGGTTTTTTAAAACCCTCCATTGATAGAATTGCTTGATTAACATTGTTTATGAGATAAATATTTAAATGGCACTGTTGCCACCTGTTTAAAGGAAGATAACTTGAAATTACAAAATTTTTACTTTTTTAATAAAATGCATCCGTTTCTTTACAATCTGTCTCAACAAAGAAGATTTTATTTCGAGGAATGTAAAAAGAGAATCAGACATTGTTTTGTTGAAATAAAAACATTGCTGGATAACATTCTGTAACAAAGATTGCTGCTAGAGTTCAGAAATATTGTGAAGAAATAGCAATTCATGGTTTAGCAATTTCTATGTAAATCCTAGAAAAAGAAAAGCTAGGGCTCATCCATGAATGATTCTTTTGTAAAATGCATTTTCGTAAATTAAACAATATTGCAACCTTACTAAGAAGATGTTAAATAAAAAATATATTGATTAAACGATTTTCCTTACTATAAATAGCGCCTTTTGTTTACATATATGTATATATGTTTAATTATCTTCTTTAAATAGGTTCAGAACATTTGTATTGTTTATTAAGATAGGTTATATATTTTATAAAAATATATATTTGCTCCTGTATTCTGTATGTTGTATACAGAATATTATGTCATTTCTTCTTCTGAATATTATTATATAATTCTTTTTTTTATATTTCTATATCCCACTCTTCTTTCCTACTTTACTGATATCTATCCTATTCGTATTTATTCTTTTAATACCACTTTTTAAAATTTATTTTTCCTCTTTGTCTTTAAGTGGCTTTTTTTGTAAGATAAAATGATTCTGAAAGGTGATTATTAACATCTTTATACTGAGGTTTCTTCGACGGATTACTGCTTCTAGACATAATGAAGGAATCTGTCCGAATTTAACACTTTTCTATCTAGAAATATTATTATTTATCAGATAAATGGCACCGCTGTGAATTGAACATGCCCGAAGGATCACTTGAAATGACAAATACACAGTCCCATTAATCTAAAGTTCGCTTCGGGTAATTATCCTATTTTGTAATGAATTTTCAATATTAAAAATTGAATTTGTTTTATGATCATAAATCGGTTTAGTCGTTTTAATGTTTATTAATAAATGATAAATAAAACTTAGTTAAAAACCTATAAAATGTGGATCAGTATAAAGTTTAAGACCCGATCTAGATGCATAATTTTACAATAATTCTGTTTTAATGAGAAAACTTATTTTATCGCGGGGATAAAAGCGAGAACATTTTCCCTAATATTCTTAGAACATTTTATTAAGTAATATACAACTTGAAGCCTCTTAAATGGATTGAGTCTTTGCCACAAACTCCGATTTTCTATATTCACATATCATTGCAATCCAATTTAGTAGATCGTAGATATTTCAAACTGTAAATTCTGTCAAACCAAATATTTACAGCACCAGGTTGCAAAGATATAGAGATGAGCATAAATCGAGGTTATGTCACAGACTCAATTTCATAACTATGTACTTAACAATACCTCCCCCCCCCTTCTCCCAGAATAAATCTTCTTTAGTTCTTTTCTCATTCTTTTGAAAATCACAGTAACGTAATTTTCAACCAGAGAATAAGTTTAAAATAAAAAATTCTATTTAAAGGTTATAACAGCTTTATGTTATCTGGTTTTTTTTAATTAATAATGTAAATTGTAATTATTTCTGTGTTGGTTTATGCAGTAATGACATAGAAGGAAAATGTCAGAATTGAACAGTTTTCTAGTAAAAAGAGTTGTTTTTAACTGTTGATTTTCAAGCCGACCATATAAACAAAAACTTTTTGCAGATTTAGGGGTTCATCTGTAATTCCACAAATCGGTTTTGCCGTTTTGACATTATTTGGATATAAATAAACAAACAAACAAATGGAAAAGCACAATAACAATATTAAAGAGAGTACTGAGTGTGTATGTATATAAATATACTAAAATCCTCTTGAAGTTTGTGTACCAGTACTAGAGTTTAGTATAAATGCACTGAATAATACTTAATGTCAGTTGTAAAATATGTGGGTTTATGCATATACAACTATTCTCTATACAGTTCAAACATTGTACTTCAAATTAACAAAATATTCGCCTAAAACAGTTGTTAAGAGGGCGTATCCAGCCCCCTCCGGATATAAACAAAAAGTTTTTCGTATTAATAGAAATCTTCAATAGTTATAAGTTTATAATGTTGTACAAGAAAATGTCAGAATAAGAATTAATTAGAATCCATTTTTCATTGTTAGTACTTCAAACTGGGGGGGACTAGCCTGGGGACTAGAGGAACTAGGACTAGGGGCTAAAAGAACTAGGACTAGGGACTAGAAGAACTAGGACTAGGGACTAGAAGAACTAGGAGTAGGGACTAGAGGAACTAGGACTAGGGACTAGAGAAGCTAGGACTAGGGACTAGAGGAACTAGGCCTAAGGACCAGAGGAACTAGGACTAGGGACTAGAGGAACTAGAACTAGGGACTAGAGGAACTAGGACTAGGGATTAGAAGAGCTAGGACGAGGTACTAGAGGAACTAGGACTAGGGACTAGAGGAACTAGGACTAGGGATTAGAAGAGCTAGGACGAGGTACTAGAGGAACTAGGACTAGGGACTAGAGGAGCTAGGACTAGGGACTAGAGGAACTAGGACTAGCGAGTAGAGGAACTAGGACTAGCGAGTAGAGGAACTAGGACAAGCGAGTAGAGGAACTATGACTAGGGACTAGAGGAACTAGGACTAGGAATATCTATCTATCTTTCTAAAGAATGAGTAATGAGTAATGTCTGGGGTTTATAATACAGTATTGATTATATGTGACTAAAAAGAAAGAGAAGGATTTACTCCGACATAAAACTCATTCTTTACTATTCATATGATATGCCAAGAACTGTGTAGTGTGAAATACAGGGACAAGGATCAATATATGAACAATTGTAGATTTATGAACAACAGTAGGTTTATGAACTATCAACAACAGAATGTTTATGAACTATGAACAACAGAGGTTTATGAACGAGAGTAGGTTTAAGAACTATGAACAACAGAAGGTTTATGAACAACAGTAGGCTTATGGACTATGAACAACAGAAGATTTATGAACAACAGAAGAATTATGAAACATGAACAACAAAAGGTTTATGAACAACAGTAGGCTTATGGACTATGAACAACAGAAGATTTATGAACAACAGTAGGCTTATGGACTATGAACAACAGAAGATTTATGAACAACAGCAGAATTATGAAATATGAACAACAGTGGGCTTATGAACAACAGTAGGTATTATTAAATATGAACAACAGTGGGCTTATGAACAACAGTAGGTTTATGAAATATGAACAACAGAAGGTTCATAAACAACAATAGGCTTATGAAATAAGAACAACTGTGGGCTTATGAACAACAGAACGTTTATGAAATTTGAACAACAGAAGGTTTTTGAACAACAGAGGGTTTATGAACAACAGTAGGCTTATGAACAGTAGATTGTAAAATACTTTTTTTAGGAATTTCACAAAATATTTAGGATAAGATAATGATAACAAGAAGCGTAGGAAACAATCTTTCTTAATCTTTTCCATAATGTAACAATTTTTAGAAATAAATTCTAATAAAAATAGAAATAAATAACTTTTCCATAACTTTTAACCTTTTCTAATTTTGTACACATAAACCTCCTATTAATTAGACTTGGTTAAAAATTCTTATATATTAATTACACTTAAAGGGAATTTCAGGGGTAATATGTAAACATTTACATAATCAACCCTTTTTTCTAGCTTGAAAACTGTGTTATTATTTCATAAGTTTTATAAGCATATTATTTTCATGTGTTGCATGATGAAAATTTAAACAAGCTTTGCTATACTTAGAAATTATATGACATAAAGAGCAAATTTCAAGTTTTAATTTTCGCAAAAAATGCTCTAAAACATGGTTTAGTAAGATTTTCTGGTTCCACAAAATCTGTGAATTTTAATCGGGAAAATCTGCAAGTTAAAAAATTTTTAGAAAAAATAGAAAATTTTTAAATCATCAATAATAAATATAACGTTTTCTGTGCATTTTCTATGAATTTTATGATTGCGTGGTTTAAACTGTAGTATGTGTTAGTTAAAGTAAACCTTACCTCATATTATCCAAAATATCTAGCTTCAAGTCTATCTATCTATCTATTTATCTATTGTGTAAATATCCACAAGATTCCCGGAGTAGATAAGTGTTTTTCATTTTCGTCTTAGCTCGCAAAATATTTTGATATTCGCAGAGAAAGGTCGGACCAACTTTATCTATAACATTCACGGTTAATTTCTGGATGGTTTAGGATGGATTCTTCTCTTTATAGCCTTAGTCTGAACCTGGAGACAGGTCACATGTTCAATTAATCCCACCACATCGTGAGAGGATGAAACCTTGCAAAGATTCCTGATAAATCCTTTGTCTCTGGTTGAGATCTCGTGGTTTACTCAGTCTTGTCTCCGGTATTGAATAGAACTGAGTAAACCGGAGGCTGGTGGGGTCCGCCTCGTATTTCAACAGTCTAGCAAAATATTATCCTTGGGAGCGCAACAGGAGATATATACAGGGTTTAGTGTACAATTCTAAATACAAGGGAGGGGTAGGGGGGGGGAGAACAGGAGATATATACAGGGTTTAGTGTACAATTCTAAATACAAGGGAGGTACAATTTTAACCAAAATGCTAAAATTTGTCAAGAATATTAATAATCATGGGTTGTTAAAAAATGTTAATTGGAAACTAGCATAAAGAAGAAGATTTTTTTCTCCAAAATGAGGATGTTGTAGATCTAGCAAAAGATGGTAGTTTAGAGCAATAGAAAGGGTCAAGAACTGCAGCTCTGGCCAAATATTACTTTTTTATTTTGTATCTTGATTGTTGCCCCTTTATTCATTAGTTTATCACTTAATTTCTACTAATGTGTTTTTCTTGTTGGCTTTTATTTCTCTTATTGTTTTTACTTGTTTTTACAAATTTGTAAACTTTTCAACGATTTCGGATTATACTTTTATTTATTAGATTTAAAATGCTTTTTAATTTTCTTAACGCGAAATTAGGTAATTTTTTCATATTTCCTCAGTAGGAATTCCGGTTTATGGTTCACAGGAAATGATCCGGATTTTTTTTACAAAGGTTCTGGAATTCCGGAATTCCGATCAATTCTGGAACGACTTTTTTGTTCCGTAAACCGGAAATTTCCCGAACCTTGTTCCGTAATTTCGGAACGATCCGGAAAACTCAGTTTTACTAAAAAATCGTTCCTAAATTTTCCAGGAAAAAGTAAAAAAAAAGTTAAACACATCTTAACCTAATGTAAAAGATAAAACCAATAAATAATACTATCTAGATAATAATAGAATGTGAGCCTGATTAAACCGTAGTTAAAGAGTTACAACTGTGAATTATAATGAAATTTAAATTCTGGCTGCCATGTTTCAAAATAATTTCATCTACAGAAAACTGCGGAAAAGGTAGACGACATACATAGAAATCTTTAAGTCTATTTGATGTTGTTACAAAGCAAATAGTTTAAATAGTAAATTATCAAATCACTTTTTAATTAAAGCCTTATAAATACTTATTCATATGGTTCATTTCAACTCATCCGGATAAAATAAGGAGTGCGGAGGGGGGGGGGGAACTTTTAGCTTATCTGATGAGCCTCTTGAAATATAAAACTAATTTGTCACAATGTCATGATAAACAATAGTAAAATATTTGTGAAAATATTCATCCTTTCTTTTAACAGAATTAAGAAAAATATAGATGGCATTTCCAGAATACCTAAATATTTAAAAGATCTTAAAAGAAATAGAACCGGGAAACCTCCCTGCATGGGGAAACCTCCCCCTAAAGGTTTAACCATTTCCGCACAATGTAAGACGTAAAAAGCAATGTTTTGACATTTTCCAATATTCATGAAGTCTATACCTGGAAGTTTTTCCGGTTTACGGAATGAAACCAGGAAATTTTTCCAGTTTAAATAACGGAACCCAGAAATTTTTCCAGTTTACGGAATAAAAACATGATTTTTCTGGAGTGTTTTTGAATTTGGGAATTTGGAAATTTCCGGTTTCCATTCTGTAAACCAGAACAAAATCCGGGTTAAGTGATGTAAACCATAAAAATTCCGGTTTCCATTCCATCCGGAAATTTGCTGGAATTCCACTTTAATAAACAAATTTCCGGATTATTCCATTTTTAAAATGGAAATTTTTTTCTGGAATAATGGAAACCCTATTCCTTAGTGTCCCTGTGAAAGAATAACAAGAGAAAAGATAAAGATGATAGTTATCTTCCCTTTTCTAGATTAATGTTCTCAATCTAGGTGTAAACTTCAACAATACAATACTATAATACACCAATAGATATAAACTACATTAATACAATACTATATACTGTACAATACAATACACCAATAGATATAAACTACATTAATACAATACTAAAGTACACCAATAGATATAAACTACATTAATACAATACTATATACTGTACAATACAATACTATAGTACACCAATAGATATAAACTACATTGATACAATACTATATACTGTACAATACAATACTATAGTACACCAATAGATATAAACTACATTAATACAATAC